ACACAAGATAGTTAAATCTGATTATCTTCTGAAACTGTATTAGTACTAGTGTAGAATTTGAAGGAAACACAAGATAGTTAAATCTGATTACATATCCTTCTGAAACTGTATTAGTACTAGTGTAGAATTTGAAGGAAACACAAGATAGTTAAATCTGATTACATATCCTTCTGAAACTGTATTAGTACTAGTGTAGAATTTGAAGGAAACACAAGATACTTAAATCTGATTACATATCCTTCTGAAACTGTAGTAGTACTAGTGTAGAATTTGACTGTTTTGCAAGAGATTGTTTTGTTTTGTTTTGAAAAAGGAAATTCTATTTCAGAGTTCAGACTAAGTTCTATTAGGTTCAGAAGCTGTTGTAGTTGCTGTAGTCAACTGTCAGATTTTTCTCTGAATTATTCTGTAAGCCATAAAAGAACAAGTGAATTGTAGTTTTTCATATCCATAGTTTAATACTGGTTTTGAACTTTTAATTAAAGTTAGCTTTTATGTTTAACTTTTTTCTATCTTCTTAGTATTAACTTGCTATCTTTAATATTTGTACAAAAGTATTAAACTTCTAGTCACAGTAATTAACTTGTAATTAATTAAGTAATTAATTTTTTTTTAGTATTCATTGAAGTACATTTTTTTGTTTGTATAAAATATTTCCTTTGCCAGCACTTCAGAAACTATGCTGAAGAAATATACTTTATAGATTTCTTACACCCAACATGTTTCAACCTCTATAGCTAAAACAACTTTAAATATTTCCATTCTGGTTTCTTCCTTGCTTTATAGCCAGTGGAGAATCTGAAGAGAATCAAAATTTAAATGATGATGATTTAGAAAATGACATGCCCCAGGTAATCATGTTTGTGGAAGAAGTAGTGTCTTTGTTTGAAACACATTTTCCTGACTTTTGGAAGTTGGGACAAGCATACCTTAATGGAGAACTCTACTCAAGAGAGGTAAACAGAATATCTTTTAATGTTTTAATTTGGTGTAATTGTAATTTAATGTATGCAAGTACATTATAATGCAAAGTATGTATTGTCATAATATTTCTAAGTTGAATTTTTGTAGTTGCTCAAAATATGCACATTTGATATTGTGAAACTGTCAGGCCCGCCAACAAGGGTGGGGCAAAGGGGGCAACTGATCAGGGGCCCGGGCGAATGAAACCTGGTTATGCCGTAAAGCCTGCAAAGCATCTTTAGGCTATATCTTCATTTAATGATAAAAACCATAGTTTTTGGCTTTTCTTTGCATATAGATGCTTGATACATTAATAACTACTGAAATGATAATTTGAGTAATAATTAATATGTATTTGTTACTTTATAGGTTTAATAGATATTTGTTGTTACTTTATTAATGTTTTTATGCTTATACCGTGAGGTGAAAATGGCTGCTGCTATGATTTTATCTGGTTTAGGAGCTCGTTGGTGTCCTAATTTAGGATCTTCTTTTTAATAAATTATTGAAAATGTTAAAAAAGAGAGAGAGAAAGGGGGTCCAGCGAGGATGTTTGCCCCGGGCCACGTGCTGGCTCTCGATGTTCCTGAACTGTGTTATCCTTTTATTCTAGAGTAGCACTCTTCCACACATTCTTACAAAATTAATGGATTCAAAATTAATAATTATAACTAAAGAAAAAAGAAAAGTTAGTGAAACAAAGGCATAACATATGAAAAATCTTAGTATGTGTGTGTGTGTGTGTGTATATTTATTTGATACATCATGAAGTACTGTATAAAGATTATTTCTGTTACAAACTAGTTTGAACACTAAGTTATGGATTTTGGCATAATTGGTAAATGATCAGGAAATTCCAGCATTGTTTTTATACTGTTTTATTAGTAGATTTTTCTTTTTCTCTGACATAATGCTGTAATAATTAGAGTATTAAAATGGAAATCTAATCTATATGACGTTATCTAAAGCTAAGAGTGGTCAAACATGGTGATGCATTATAATTGTGTTGTTTGCTGATGCAAAAAGTTTTTTAACTGCTCATAACAGCAGTTTCTCTAAGTAAGAACCAAACATATGCAGTTTTATTCTTGTTAACACCATTGTGCTGAAATTGATGTCAAACAATTAAAGTTTTTCTTTGCATTTCAAAGAGATTCTATTTGATACTAACTGATACTTACTTTCAGTCACTGATCTTGCCAGTCCTCTTTAGGTGTCTTTGAGAAGTGTATGCTGTAAATTCTCTGCTGACCTGGCATATGGTGGTACTTAGTGAAAACAACACAGATGTTTATTTGTGTCATGTATTTCTATGTAATTGGTGCAAAGTAGAGACTTTAGCTATAATTTCATTCCGATAGGACACTTACCTTCTCCTACAAGATTAGCTATTCTCATTCAGTGCTGCCCTCTATATGCAAACTTTTGCTTTACACATGCCACAAGCCTTCCGCTCCCCCTATTGGAATTGCAAGATTCCAACATAGATCTCTTGCATATCATCATGCGTCACCTACTCACCAATAGGAGCATGACATGCTCACGTGACGTATGTGACTCACTCTACACTTCTCTACCAAACTATCACTTTGAAGTTTGGCAGTGCTTGTGTTTGGATATGTTCTTTTGTTTGTTTCCTCACAAAGTGTTTTTTTTTAAATTAATCTCCTTTCATTCAGCCTGTTTCTTCTATTAGTATTTATTAGTTAATTCTAGTCATCTTATTTTCTGCACTTGAATTTGGTGAACCTTTCTGTACAATGAATTCTGAAGTTAACATTACCGCCTCGGGGTTACACCAGTGACCAGCATTTTTTCTCAGGTCTCAGGTGGGGGCGATTTGATGGTGGATTTGTATACTTTTATTTGCCGAGAGAGTGAACGTTACATGGAACAACCTTTGACCCCAAACATCACCCAGGCTGAATAGTCCTTCCTTAGATCCACTCAATATCTTATCAATTTGTGGGTCTTTTTCAACACTCATATCAGCCTTCTTCTTTATGACTTCGTTTAATGGAACTGTTGGATTGCCACGCTCCCCTAGATTCTGTTGCTTACTTTTATCACTTTTTGGAATGTGGTCATCACTGGTCTTCCTTGGTCATGCCCATATGAGATCCCCTCAGTGGGTGCTTCACGATCGTTGCAACCTTACTCTGGATCCTCTTTCCATCTCCATTACCCTTCCTTTTTCTCTACCAGATGATCTACTTTGGTGATTGGACAAAGCCCATATGTCAGTAGGCATGCTGCTTACTTTCCTGCATCTGGATCTACATCTTTTCATGGATGCATTCATTCGGGGATGGGGGGCATGGGTCAATCACCAGGAAGCTTTGGGCCATTGGTCTGCAGACAGAAGCATTTTGCATATCAATGTTCTTGAACTTCTAGCCATGCGTCAGGGTTTGCATCACTTCTTTCTTCTTGCCTGACATTGTTTGGGGAAGGTTGATTTGGACAATTCTTTGGTGGTGGCACATATCAACCACAAAGGGGGCACCCGGTCCAGAGATCTCTTGTTTTCGGATGTTGGATCTCTTATACTGGGCCATGCACATCACATTCATCTTATTGCATGTCATGTGCCAAGTGCTTTCAATCTGGTCACGGATCGTCTTTTGTGGCTTGACTGGATATATCCCACAGGGTGGTCATTATATCCCCTCGTTTTCAGGGATATTTGCCATCGATGGTGTTCTCCCCACATGGATGCCTTTGCTATGGCCCTCAACAACAAGTACCTTTCTTTTGGATGCCTGTACCTCATCCCCAGGCTCTGGCAGTCGATGCCTTCAGCCAGGATTGATCACACAAGTATCTTTATGTGTACCCACCCATCTAATTACTTTATCAGATGATTCTTCTCATCCACTCCACTCCTTGTCAGGTCCTTCTGATCACTCCTTGTTGGCCAGTTCAGCCTTGGTTTCCATGGTTACAGCAGCTGCTCCCCTCCCTTCCTGTCACTCTTCCACTTTATCCCTACCTTCTTCGTCAAACTTGGTCACATGTTCTACATCCCACCCTCATGTCCTGCATTTTCACGCCTGGCTTTTGTCTGGTCCTTGGCGAGAAGATCTGGTTTCATATGTTGAGTTGTTTCCTTGTTAACTGGTTCCATCTGCCCATTTTCCATGGAGGTGTACCAACGCAAGTGGGAAGTATTCCTTTGTGAGTCTACAACTAGTTAGTTTCCTGCTGACCAGCCTAGTATGCCATAATTTCTCACCTGGCTCTTTGACCGTGGATCTTCAGTTCCCTCACTTTCAGAATCTTGGGTGGCCTTATCCCATACCTTTCATTTTTACTGATATCATAAAGTTTTTACTTCCCCCTGTCCTTACCATGCTCCTGGGTTCCTTCCAGACACGACATCCTCCCAGGCGACCTACCCTTCTGGCTTAGGATGTTAATGTGGTCCTTCATTCGCTTACTTTACCTTGCATGTGATAGACATCCTTTCCATACCAGATTTCAAGTTCCTGGATAGATAGCTCAGAGCTAATCCTTGTGTAATACCCGGTAATCGGAATGGTTCTCAATTTCCGGTTTTTGGGTTTGAGGTGAAGATTGTATGATCCTCATCCTACCCTCACACGGATGTCAATACCCCATGGGCAGGTTATGGATGTAGGTGGCTTACCAAGTATGGTCTGCCATGCCCCAGCCACTCTACACCTAGGGATGCATCCTTTGTTTATCCACCTTTCTCATTGTGGGATTGAGTTTCAGTATATTTCAATGGTTAGGATCACTTTCCTGCCACATTCTCTCCCACTCGGATGTGCTCCTTTCATTTTCTGTCCTTATATCTTACACATTCCACAGTTGGGCGAAGAGTATATGTGGCTCAGAAGTGGTGTGGTTCCCCTCTTTGGAACTAAATCTCTCATTTCCAGGGATATCCTTTGGATGCTTTTGGGGAGTACTTTTGTCATTCCCTTGCACCGTTCCCTCCTCCTTATCAGTGTGGGAATCTAGCTAATCTTGTGAGTGGAGGTAAGTGCCATATCACAAGTTATAATTTTCCTATAATGAAAATGTATTTCTGAGAGGTTCTTACCTCCTTTCACACTTCCCACCCTTCCTCCCCACATTTTTCTAGGGATGAAATCTTCTGCTAACCTTCGAAGTGATTGTTTGGTAGAGGGAGTCACGTCACGTGAGCATGGCATGCTCCTATTGGGGAGTAGGTGACGCATGATGATTTGCATGATAGACATGTTGGAATCTTGCAATTCCAATAGGGGGAGGGGAAGTAGCATGCATAAAGAAAATTTTTGCATATAGAGGGCAGCACTGAACAAGAAGAGCTAATTTTGTGCTGTATCTGAATGAAACTATAACCAAGGTCTCTACTTTGCACCAATTATATAGAAATACATAGGAAAATAGAAAAAGTATAACTCTGTCAAATACAGGCCCATAGTATTTTTGGAATTTAATAATTCCTAACTGATTTGTTCTCTTCATTGTAGTAATCTATATTGAACTCACTTTTAACATAAACATTTTCTTTCACAGGGCCTCTGTTTGGCATATTTCACATACATATTAGCATTACTGTTAAAAGCAGTGTGGATCTAACTGTTAATTGAGTTTATTTCTTCCTTTTCTAACAGGTTAATGACTCAAGAGACAAAAAAGGTGTTCCCAAGAATACTTCATTTCAGGTTTGTATGGTAGCTACTTTCATTAAAAATACTTTTAGTAATAGGTAATAAGTAAAAATAAAAAAAATTTCTGTAGTCTTTATAAACCATTAGATAAAACTACAATAAAAGTGTGTTCTATTCTGCATAAAACTGCAGTATAGTCATGCTGTAGCTTGTATAAACCAATAGACAAGTGTAGTCTTTATAAACCAATAGATATACCTGTACTGTAAGTGTTGTGTAGTTCTTATAAACCAATAGATATACCTGTACTATAAGTGTTGTGTATTCCTTATAAACCAATAGATATAGCTGTACTATAAGTGTTGTGTAGCCCTTATAAACCAATAGATATACCTGTACTGTAACTGTTGTGTAGTCCTTATAAACCAGTAGACAAGTGTAGTCTTTATAAACCAATAGATATACCTGTACTGTAAGTGTTGTGTAGTCCTTATAAACCAATAGGTATAGCTGTACTATAAGTGCTGTGTAGTCCTTATAAACCAATAGATATACCTGTACTATAAGTGTTGTGTAGTCCTTATAAACTAATAGATATACCTGAACTATAAGTGTTCTGTATTCCTTATAAACCAATATAGCTGTACTATAAGTGTTGTGTAGCCCTTATAAACAAATAGATACAGCTATACTATAATTGTTGTGTAGTCCTTATAAACCAAAAAATATACTTGTACTATGAGTGTTGTGTAGTCCTTATAAACCAATAGATATACTTGTACTATGAGTACAGGTATATCTATTGGTTTATAAGGACTACACAACACTATATCTATTGGTTTATAAGGAATACAGAACACTTATAGTTCAGGTATATCTATTAGTTTATAAGGACTACACAACACTTATAGCAACACTCATAGTACAAGTATATCTATTGGTTTATAAGGGCTACAACACTTATAGTACAGCTATATCTATTGGTTTATAAGGAATACACAACACTTATAGTACAGCGTAGTCCTTATAAACCAATAGATATAGCTGTACTGTAAGTGTTGTGTAGCCCTTATAAACCAATAGATATACCTCTACTATAAGTGTTGTGTAGGCCTTATAAACCAGTAGACATAGATATAGCTGTACTATAAGTGTTGTATAGACCTAATACACCAATAGATATACCTCTACTATAAGTGTTGTGTAGGCCTTATAAACCAATAGATATACCTGTACTACAGTTGTTGTGTAGTCCTTATAAACCAGTAGATATACCTGTACTACAAGTGTTGTGTAGTCCTTATAAACCAGTAGATATACCTGTACTACAAGTGTTGTGTAGTCCTTATAAACCAGTAGATATACCTGTACTACAAGTGTTGTGTAGGCCTTATAAACCTGTAGATATACCTGTAGTATAATTGTTGTGAATTCCTATAACTGTAGTATGATTATTGTGTAGTTTTTATAAACAACTCTATATAAAAAAACAGGAAATAATTGTCTATTTAACCTGTTAAAGCTATCTAATCCCATGATATTTTGTTTTTTACCCTGTTTTTTGCTTAACTTGTTTGCTATTTTAGAGACTAAGGAACTTCTTTTTATTTCCTTCAGAGAATGGCAGTAAATTGTGCAATAAAGTTGTGCAACATGGTGCGTGCAGCATTACTTAGTCACACACTTAAGACACAGTCAGTACAACAAAGTCAGTTCTTAGGTAACTGGTCCCAGCTTCAAGCAGCTGAAGTCCTCATAGCCTGGCTTCCACACAGCATTAGGTGTATCAGGTAATGTGTACTTTTAACAGGTTTATGTGTGTAACATTAATCCTGCAATATTACTGTAAAATAGAAGGTGTAGTAAAAAATTATCTTTGTGTCATTTGGGTATAACACAGACTGAATTTGGTAGCAGTTACCACTGTTTGCTGTAAAATGTTTGCCGCCCAAATTTAAAAGATCATGTTATGAAAAATTTGTTCTGTACGAGGCACATTTTGCATTCAATGTGATGAAACATTACCTTGACTTAAATTATTACTTTAAAAGTAACTTCGATCAATAGTTTGCAAGCTTTGATCAATACTTTTGATGTGGAGATACATATTTAATTACTATACCCTCAAAATACGATACTGTTGTGTTGCTCAGTATGGAAACTTGACTTGTTCGCACTTGATTATTGCCTCCCTCTGTTTGTAAGTGCATGTAAGATTTCTTTACATTAAACCCTTTACTGTTCTATTTTAACTGATTGTTATGTCTTTGGTCGTTTGTTCATTTCCCGTAAAACTTCTTTCCAAAGAACTTCAGCAACACAAGTCCTTTCTTAAATAAAACTAATTTATTTTTTCTCAACACAACTTTGCAATACACAGAATTTCCACAGTCACTGTTAAAGTGTTAATTTTAAGTTAATTAAACACATACTATAATTCACAACGATTCATGCATTTTACTTATGGTCATTCCTGCTCACTCGACTCGATTATTTGTCTCTATATCTCCCTATCTGCCCTTATCTATGCTGTCACTGCTTGCCGGTCTTATATATATATAAAATAGAGGGCGTCTGACAAAAACTCGAGCCTTCAGGAACTTTGGAGATACTCAATATGTGTTACCAGTGTCACTTGACTTCTGCTGTCATAACATGATGTTTTCTGTCTGATAAATATATGTACTTTGTGTGACCTTATTTCTGTTACTTATGTCAGTATAATTGATTGCAATATTTTTGTTGCTGTGTAATAGATCTATGTGGAAAAATTGCAAGGAAATAAAATGCATATAAAATATGAAAAAAAATGCATTTTAACCCAATCGAGACGGGTAGGGGTCAGAGGGTATATCATCACGTTTGTAGATTTACATTCAATATTTTATTTAGCTATTATTTTATAAACGTATGTCAATAAGTTTGGTATGAAATTGTAGATTATAATTCAAATTTTAATATTATACGTTAGTTAGTTTCTTAGTTTGAAACTAAATATAAAAAAAATGGCTAAATATCGATTTTTGTGTTTCACGTGGTATTTAGCCTTCTGGGTTTGGTCAGATTTTGTTTTATAATGCCCATAATATAACGTCTATAGTTTTGTATGGTTTAAAAACTCAAATGCCCCCCAGTGGTACAGCGGTATGTCTGCAGACTTACAACGCTAGAATCCGGGTTTCGATACCCGTGGTGGGCAGAGCACAGATAGCCCTTGTGTAGCTTTGTGCTTAATTACAAACAAACAAACAAAAACTCAAATGTTCGATATTGTTAAGCTAGAATATAAAATAAAAACCTCCTACCTTTTCTATTTGCTGAGATACCATGATATTTAGTGAACCCACCATATTGGCTCTGCCCACCACTTCATCAATTGAGAAGACTTATTTATCTATGCCTACTTTTATATACCAATAACTTTATAATAATTCTGTCAGTCTTCCGAAGATATTTATGAGAAGAAATGCTCTTATATCATTGGAAAGTTTGGAGTATTGCTATCAAGGCTATTTTGTGAATAGAAATTATACTTTTTTAGACCCAAATAGAATTTAGTTGGGAAGCCTGTTAAATTACATTGGATGTTTGGGGTGTTCATATAGTAATTTATAATTCTTTTGTATTCCAAAATGTTTATATAAAGTCTACAAAAATTATTATTTTTCCATCTCCACATGTGAATTTGGATGACGCTTAGCAAGTACGGCTCACGAGTGCAAATACGGACTTCGTAGTAGAGATCGTTGTTTTCCGAATATATTTTATTTACTGTTTTATGTTTGAACAAAAATATCTGACATTTAAGTATTTATTTGAAAACATTAGTTATATACATACATATGTAATGTATGGTAGCCACTGTGTTACTATATTTTACAAAGTAAGATCTTGTGTTATTTTTCTACTTGTTTACATTGAGGTAGAATAAAAACAAAGTACACAAAACTGAAGACTTGGCAATTCAGGAAAAGTTTATTTATTTAATTTGTGAAAGTCTAAGAAATAAATTTATGACTGATCACCCGATCTTAACACATGCAAAGGAACATCTTTACATAAACACCTGGTTGAACTTGCAGTTTGCTGGTGAATAATTTGTTTCTCAGGTTACAATGGAGAAGGCTAAGCCATGAATACTGTCCCAACCAAAACTAGCCCTATTTGTATTAGTGGAAACTACACATTTACTGGTTACTGTGTAAGCATGGTAATATAGGAAACAGGTTGTCCATAAGCATTTACACACACTTACACCTATACCAACACTAAATCCCAACCACCAAGTAAGATAACTAGCAAGTTTATTGGATAGGATACAACTTTATACTTTGTACAAAGCCATATCATAAATATTTTCTCTCACTTTTATAAAGTACTGTAGACAATTCTTGTTGCAACCACTGTATTGTAAAGAAGCCAGTAAGTTCTATCCTACTGTGTTCTCAGAGCAGTGATCCAAATAGTTTCTGTAGGATACTTCCACTTTTTGACTTATTGTATCAACTCAGACTTTCTACAAAGTCAAAAACATTTTATAATACTTAAGGCAATTGTCATTGTAAACATTATACTGTCAACAAGTTCATATATCCTGTCCAACTGTGTTCTCGGAACAGGTGAAATTCTGGAAATTGCACTGCATGAACTTGTTTAATATTGATGGTGTCAAAGTACTCAAAATACGATAACACCTAAACAGGAACGGTGATTCACTGGTTTATGTTCGGCATGGTTCGACTTCAGCTGCTAACATTAGAATAACAATAGGAAATAGATTAGAAGAAACTCTCAGGAGACTTACTTGGAACTTTACTGTCCGTACTGAGCTTTATTCATTTTGTTTCTTCTAATTTCTAACTAATCTACTAGCAATAAAATTACTACAGGAAATAAGTGTGAAAAGGTGAGAGCGTAAACTCTGAACATAAGTACTTTGAAATTTTGTAATCGTTACTAACAATACTGTACATTTTATTTTGGAACCTTTATTTTCGTTATACTTTGATTACTTACCTACATCCTGGAGAAGTAAGTATAATGTTACAGTACAAAAAATAAATAAACTATAAAGCTTACTGAAAATAAAAATGATTGATATTTAATTACGAGGTTTTTATTTTACTTACCTACATCCTGGAGAAGTAAGTGTAATGTTACAATACAAAAAATAAATAAACTATAAAGCTTACTGAAAATAAAAATGATTGATATTTAATTACGAGGTTTTTATTTTACATTTGTTTTGTTTATTAATATAAAAGTAACTAAAATCATAAAAATAGAAAGTTGTGTGGTAAAATAATGAAAGAAAGATAATAAAAAACATTCATGGGTAATATGTGCCAGAAGCTTTTGCATTACGCTGTTCGACAGGGTCATGTCGATGCACTTGCACCATGTAATTTTCAACTTTTGTCAGGGTATAAAACAAAATAAAATAAAAATTAGTAAAAATATATATAGATTTATACTGTTAAGAGATTTAAGCTATTTAGATTGAACACTTGTGGTTTTCTATCACAATTTGCAGTTATTCTAGAAAAAGAAGGTAATTTGGATTTATCTCCC